CTTTTAACTGTTTCGTAATTGTCGGCATAAAACATAGCTGCATCAAGCCAAGTACCCCAACGTGTTACAACTGGTTGTGGGGGTAAGGAAATATTTGGGCATTTTTCTTTGTACAGCTGAATACGTATTGGGGCTTTTAAAAATACTTTTTTTACAAAGTTAATCATGTCATTTACCAAAGGAAATTCCTCTCTTATACATTCTGCTACTCTATTAATTCCATGAGCCAAACAGGTTACATGTAACATACCAGAATAAAAAATTTTTAAATTTTGTCCTGCTTTCACCATGTAAGGTGCAGCATCAGATAAAAATAAGATAAATTTTTCCCCTACGATTGCATCAGGTAAGAAGAAATTGGTTAAAGAGTCTTGAACAAATCTGGTAATTGTTAAATTATTCGCTTTTTCAAGTTTTTTTGACGCAAAAAGATAAGATCTGTCAGGGGTCGCTTCTAACACGCCAATTAACGCATGTGCAATGTATCTATCGCGCGAATCTGTGGTTTCATCTACTATAATATAAAAATAATTTGAACTAACAACTTTTTTTATATTAGTTCAAGTTTCTTTAAAAATCGAATCGACACTTCCTTTGCGTATGGTTGATTCATCGGGGATATTTATATTACAGAACTTGCCTAGAAATTGCCTTAGGTTGGGATTGTTTAATTTTGCCAGCGGTATATTGCTGGTAATCATTGCTTTCACATCTCATCGTTGAACTGCTTTTGTTGAACGGTGTGTTTTGCACTTTTTTTAAGGCAAGTTTTTAGAGTTTGTTGTGATGTACCTCCCTCCGATTTTTGCATATTAAGAATATGCTTTGAGCATTTGGCATGCTGATCCACAATGAATTTATAAGTTATAAAGGTAAAAGTACCTTTCTTTAATGACCGGTAAAACCCAATTTCAGAATTCTTAATTAATGATCTTTTGTTATTTTAGGGGAAGGTTTAGTAAGACAATAGTGAAATTATCTTTCTTGTTTTATTTTGTAATTTGATATGGCATCGTCAAGAAGAGTATGTGTGAATGATTCAAACAATTTTTGTTCTAATTTCGGAGAGTATGTATTTAAAGAATACCGTTTAAATGTGACAACATTCGTAAATGAGGCTTACAAAAATTACTTAGGGCACCCGCTGGAAATGAAGAATAAGCCTTGGGTTTTGCAAAAGGTATGCAAAACAAGCGATGAGTTCCTACGTTTATGGACAAATAAGAAAAGACATAGCTTCAGGTACAAAACCGCTATGATTTGGAATGAACCCATGAACCACCATGACGATTGTTATTTTTGTTTGGTGAACATAACTGGTAATAGCCGTAAAAATTGAGCCAAATTAGAATATCCTTCCATACAATCGGCACATAGACGTGTCCTGAGCCTTAAGTCTACACCTGAACCTCAATCTGGTACTTTAAAGGAAGAGCCAGACGATTTTGAGACGAAAAACGACAGTAGCGATAGTGACTTTGAATGCGACCTGGAACGCCAAAACCATTCAATCAAGATGATTTAAACGACTTAATTAGAGATCTGGGATTGTCAAAGGTAGCTTCAGAAACTTTGGCTCTAAGGCTAAAAGAAAGAAAATTGGTAACGAAAGAAACTAAAATTCCTTATTACCGCACAAGAGGACAAAATTTCCTCAAATATTTTGTTGAAGAAGACAATTTCATATTTTTTAAAGGTGTACCTGGATTGATGGCTGCAATGGGATTACAAATGTATGTTTCTAGTTAGTGGCGTTTATTCATAGACTCGTCAAAACAGAGTCTAAAATGTGTTCTCTTACACAATGGGAATAAATTAGGGTCGTTGCCTATTGCACATTATACAAAAGTAAAAGAAGAATATACAACTATTGCTCTGGTTTTGGACAAAATTAAATATGTGGAAAATAACTGGATCATATGTGTTGATTTAAAAATGGTCAACTTTCTATTAGGCCAGCAAGGTGGTTACACAACGTATCCTTGTTTTCTTTGCTTGTAAGATAGTAGAGCTAAAAATCAACATTGGGTTAAAAAGGATTGGCCTACTCGGAAAGATCTAGTTCCAGGACAACAGAACGTGATAAACCCACCTTTACTGTCAAGAGATCGTATAATTTTGCCTCCGTTGCATATAAAATTAGGGCTTATAAAACAGTTTGTCGAAGATCTTAACAAAACTGGAAATTGTTTTTTATTTCATCAAAAAAATTCCGGAAACTGAGTGTCAAAAAGATAAAAGCGGACACTATGACAGAAATGAGTTTGTTTGGCTTGTTCAAAATTTCTTGGGAAATAAGAAAAGTTATAATTATTCTCAACACGTGGAACAACTAATGAGTCACTTTCAAACCCTTGGATGTAACATAAACATCAAGTTGCACTTTCTTCACAACCATCTAGATTATTTTCCCGCTAATCTTGGGAAACTAAGTGAAGAACAGGGCGAGCGATTCCACCAGGACCTTCGTACGATGAAGAAACGGTATCAAGGCTACTGGAACGCACACATGATGGCTGACTATTGTTGGAACATTCAGAACAGTTCTATGGGTTCAACCTCTGCAAGATAAAAGATAAAAGATAGTTTTTTTCACCTTAAGAACTAAATAAAATATGATTAACTTTAAACAAATTCTGTTTTACTATGAAACGGCCATGTGTCATATTTTCTAAACTAGAGCTAATACAGAAATTTAGATTACAGATTTGAAGTCTTTATTAAAAATTAAGCTAGTGTCATGTAATATAACTCAATCATCAGAAATACTGTTGTGCAGTGTAATCTCACGAATATTTGTTTAACATTATTATTAGTTTTTATAATTAACAGTTCATATTTTAAATCAGATCTCATGTATATGCACACACTACCACATATTTATACTTGAATGAGTAAAACCAAATTTGGTAGATTTTCACAAAACTTTTATTTTAAAAAATAAAAAATAATAATTAAAAACACTAACATGACATGTTTCGAAGTACAACTTCTTTTTCAAATGTGACTAATTTACAATTCGGTATCCAATATATATGCAAAATAATTTAACAAAACAAAGTACTTAAGAAAACATCAATAACAACAAAATAAACTAACTATTTAAAGTAAATAAGGGTACTTAGGTAATTATGATATCAATCAGATAACAATAAGATAGTAACATTACCGGGATTATCTCACATTAAACTAGGAGAGAGATTTAATAAAGGTGAGTTATTAATATCTAATTGATCATTGAGTAGGTTATCTGAATTTTTAAATATATTTATTTCAAGTGTTTCTAAATGGTTTAGTTTATTGCCCTTATTTTCTATATGTACAATTTCAAAGTTGTCTGTAAAAGAATGATTTTCAGCTAAAATATGATTTGAGTAAGTAAAATTATTTTTGTTTTTTGGATAGCTATTATAATGTTCGGAATAGCGCTTTTTGAAAGTACGGCCGGTTTGACCAATATACAGTTTTGGACAACTACCACAATTTAATTTATATACCCCCGCTTTATTATTAGGATTAATTTTACCCTTATTGTTTTTAATATACTTCCCAAGCGTATTATTGGTTTTAAAAACTACGTTAATATTTTGGTTTTATTAAAATTAAGCTATAGTTTTGGGATATTTCATAAGCCATCACATACTGATATTACAATAAATAATAGTTCATATCATCCATACAAACAAAAGCTGGCAGCATACAACAGTATGATCCATAGATTAGTTAATATCCCCCTTACCAAAGAGAACTTCACAAAAGAATTAAATATCATTAAACAAATCGCAGTAAACAATAATTTTAATTCAAAGTTAGTAGACAACATTTTAGAGAAAAAACTTTTTAAACATGCTATTCAACAAGTTTAACCCATAATTAAAGATCAAAATTGCAGATATAAGAGTCTTACATATATAGGAGCTCCTAGTGAAAAGGTATCATCATATTTAAAAAACCAAAATATTAACGTAGTTTTTAAAACCAATATTACGCTTGGAAAGTATATTAAAAACAATAAGGGTAAAATTAATCCTAATAATAAATCGGGGGTATATAAATTAAATTGTGGTAGTTGTCCAAAACTGTATATTGGTCAAACAGGCCGTACTTTCAAAAAGCGCTATTCCAAACATTATAATAGCTATACAAAAAACAAAAATAATTCTACTTACTCAAATCATATTTTAGCTGAAAATCATTCTTTTACAGACAACTTTGAAATTTTACATATAAAAAATAAGGGCAATAAACTAAACCATTTAGAAACACTTAAAATAAATAGATTTAAAAATTCAGATAACCTACTCAATGATAAATTAGATATTAATAACTCACCCTTACTAAATCTCTTTCCTAGTTTTCTGTGAGATAATCCCGGTAATGTTACTATCTTATTGTTATCTGATTGATATTATAATTACCTAAGTACCCTTATTTACTTTAAATAGTTAGTTTATTTTGTTATGTTATTGATGTTTTCTTAAGTACTTTGTTTTGTTAAATTATTTCGCAAATATATTGGATACCGAATTGTAAATTAGTCACAATTGAAAAAGAAGTTGTACTTCGAAACATGTCATGTTAGTATTTTTAATTTTTATTTTTAATTTTTTTTAAATAAAAGTTTTGTGAAAATCTACCAAATTTGGTTTTACTTATTCAAGATAAAATGGATTTTCATCAAGTAAAGGCCGAAACAATAAATAACATATTTATACATCTCTGTGCAGTGATTATGTCATTCAAATAAGTGTTAAGTCAGAGTCATTACTTAATAGTAGTTGTAGATATAGGTTTATTTTATGTGTAGATATGTCGAATAATTAAATTAATTTTTTTCAGTTAGAAAGATAATAATGTGTTCTAATGCAATTGTGACCTTACATTTATATTAAAATAGGATGAATCAAGCAGCGATCATGACCCATAAATGATAATAGATTTAAAAAAAATCAAAAACGATAATAGTCACATATAAATATGATAATTTAATTATTTCTTAATAGTGTTTTTCTAATTTAGTTCGAAAATGACATATTTAATAACAATGGTGAGTTTATAAAAGAAACCTATTTGTTTCGTTTTTTATTCTAAGTTTCTGTTTTTCATATCATAATTTAACACCTATACAAAGGTTTGAAATTATAAACTTAAATCTATTTTTACAACTTTTAACCCCTTTCACTGATGTTTTCATATTGTACGAGAGACATGCTTTTTTTTGAATACAATATTTTGAAATAAACATTATTATAATAGTTTTGTGATCTGTCAAACCATTTATCAAAGGCAGCAAACTAGGCTTTTCAAGTTTTTTTCAAAATCTTATTGATTGTATAGTGTGTTTCAAAAACTTTTTTCAAAGAATAGACTAGAATATATTAGGTGTTCCTGAACATATTATTTATAAAAAAAAAACGGTTATCCACACCCGAAGCAAAAGTTGAAAAACTTTCAGTTACATACAAATAATATTTAAAACTGTTAAACATTAAAGATAATACACCAACAGCCGGTTGCAAGAACGATCGTTAAATATTTATAGACTCATTAGCACTAATGATCCACTAAAAATGCATTTCGATCCTCGAAAGCTATTGAACGTCGTAAATCCGGCAACACGGTGCGTTTTTCGCGATATGACCAATGATATAATATTCTTATAAAGATTGCTTACCCATTTTTAAATAGGACTACGAAAAACGCCTTTTCAAGTGTTCACTGAATAAAATCGTTCTGGTCCAAACGTGTTTTAATATAAAATTTTAGCATTTGAATATTTAGAAACAAAAAAAGTATGACTTATTTTACGTTAAGACACGATATTATGTAAGGTGTTATAAACACAAATTTTTTTGTGTTGTAATGTTGAGTACCCACATCGTTAAATAATATTAAGATATTTAAAAAATTTCATAACAGGGAAACAGTAACAAAGCCTACACAAAACATATAAAATCATAAACTGGGACATTTTGTAAATATCTGAGCCATAAAACATAAAAAACACTGATGAATATAATAAATATGTATTATCAATTATAGAGAAAAAAGTTTTCTTGATTACTAAATAACATTAATTTTATAAATTGCTGCCATCTTATAAATAGGACCACTTGATGTTTTTTGTCAACATGAACATTCCAATTTCATAGCAACATCCTACATTAGTTTTAATTACCAATATAAACTATCTGTATCTGTGAGTTGAGGAAGGTGCATACTTCCACTGCATTTAGGCCGATTATAAATCCTCCAGGGGTATATAAAACCTGCCTCTGAGAGATGTCTAGAGACAGCTGCATGTATGTAGCTCATAAAAGTTCTGCAGGTTATCAACCCGCCAATAACCTGCTGGTTGACGCTGAGGGGTGTCTACAAACAGCCATCTTCTCAACTAATCAAAGTCCTGCAGAAAGAAAACCTGCTGGTTGACGCTGAGGGGTGTCTACAGACTATAGACATCTATCTTCTCAGATTATTAACATGGCGGAGAGGTGTCTCTAGTTGCCCCATTTTTTGAAGTGGCTATTTGGTAGGCTTCTACTAGCCCAATGGTAAATGCCCGGATTAATTATGACTATAAAATGTACATTTAAATCGGTAAAAATTTTAATGACAAGAAAACACTATACACAGGTGGGCAGTACAAGTATACTCAAAATTGTAATTAAGTACTCAAAATACTCTCTAAAATTTGCGAAAGCACTTATTTGTTTTAGGTATTATTTATATGAGTGAGTATTCATACTTAGATACTTATTATTAAGTATTTTGCGAAGATATTAGTTCATTTATTCATGAGTGCTTTAATGCAATACTCTGCCTTTGACACTATGTTTACAATTTATAAGTGAGTACTCAAAATTGAGAGAAAACATTGCATGTATTAGTGCCGCGTTTGAATATCCACATCGGATGCATCTGAGATGTAAATCTTTTATCACGTGATTCAGTATACGTAAATGAAGTAGGACAGATGTATCCGATGTGGATAAACAAACGCTCGAGATGTAAAAAATGCATCGGATGTGGATATACAAACGCGGCATAGATATAGAGAAAACTTCACTCAGTTTTGGTAAAAATAAGTGTAATTTTTGTTAAATAGCTTCATTTAAATAATATAACATCATTTTCATTCTGTAAGTCTTCATAAATAAAATTATTGACTTCAAATATATCAAAATACTACTCAAATCGCCATTTTCATTACACTTTTCCGTCACTCGAAGTGCATTCATCTGTCATGTCGCAAAATATTGTTTATGTCCTCTTTACTTTATTTTGTCTCGATGCCCGATTTACTTATAAATAAGCAATGTACATAAGTATATATCATTGGTCATAAGTTAACCTCCAAATTTGGTGCGTTTACGGCAGAGTGAATTTGGAAATTGGAATATTATTCTGCCCACGGTACCTACCTAGACGGTAGACTTTAAGAATGTTTATTAAATTTTTTGTTAAAATAATCCAATTGCATAAAACATAAGGGTAACAATAATTTGCTTTAGAAAATAAATGGATTTAGTTCTCAAAATTAGGATACATTTTTTAATAAAGCTTGCTACAAAATCAAATTTGTTACCTACCTACCATAGATATAATAATATGCATTTTATTTTATGAATGCTAGGTACCTAACTTGATATTAAATCCAAAATATATAAAATATTGTATAAAAATGCGTATATGTATAAATATTAATGTATATTAATAAAAAGAACTTTGATTATAATTTTTAAAAGATGGCAGATGTCCACAATATTTATTTAACTGTTTTTTTAATGGGACATTAACAAGCCTTTAGTTAATGGTCCAATAAATATTTTATTTATTTCCATAACTAACGAATCCCTATAACGACTCATTACTTAAAGGTCCAATAAATAAATATTTACCCATACAATAATTTTTAGGCCATAACTGATTATTCTTCTTGCATGTCCTATATTTTTTAAATTTAGCTAGGTTTTTGTTAAAATGTTCAACTTAGAAAAGAAATAAATGCCGAGAAAAAAAAATACACATCAGAATTCTGAAAATGGTCTACATATTGTGACAAAAGCATAAAGAAGGGTATATACAATATCCGTATCCCACGTAATCTAGTAGAACAAGAAGTGTAATACTGAAAATAGCCTGTCTTAAGTAACTTTTATGACATCTTAAGATCCTTATGTACCTATTAGTTCTATTAAATATCTTAGTGACAGTATTTTAGGGTTACTACTCAAGTTATTAATGTTACTTTTAGTCAACTGGTATTAATTTATTCTCTTGGAATACAAAAACTCAGCTGGTTTGCGAAGGGTGATTTTTGTTTCTCACCTCTTTCGCAGGTATCACATTCTCAGTTATTACCTCATTGCTTTCTTTCTATTCAGGTATCTGTTCCATCCTTTTCTTGATAAAGTTAAATATAACCAGCCTAAATACACCTCTAACAACCAGTAATATACCTATCATACTCGACTTATAAAAGAAAACGTTTCCCCTCCTCTGGCAATCTGCCCTTTGCCTCATCTTAAAGGCATCATACTTATGGATACCTTTGTCCTCTTTTTAATAAAAAAGTTTTATTCATAATAGCTGCATTCAGTCCTGAAGACACCCCTTGGGCCGAAACCGAAACATTTTAAACAGTGAAAAACATTTTGTTGTATTGACTTTTAGTACTTACCTATGCCGAATGTTCTCTTGAATGGGACGACAAAGACAGAGAAAACTCTTGATAGGGACGTATTTTGAATATGGACACACTTTATTTTATACTGTCATTTGAAAAAGCGTCATTGCCAAATTTACCATTCAGAGGATAATTAAGGGAGTGAATAAAGTTATAAGTTCATTAGCTAACGAGAGATTTTAATAATCGTTCTTGCAACCGGCTGTAAGTCTGTCAATCATTGGGAATTTTTATAATATAAAAAAAAAGTTTTAACGCTTTGGACCTTATACAGTCATCATCAAATATCAAATTGTAAATGTTGGTAGAAAATCTGTAATAATCTTAGATTAAGTTAGATATCTACATATTTGTAAAACCAAATATATACTGTGTGTCTCGTTAAATTTTTTTTGATTAAACGAAGGAAGCTTGAGTAAAATATAACTTTTTACCGAAATACAGTGCGTTGAAGTTTTAAAATTCCTAAATTACTAACAGCAATAATTTTTTAAATACTAGTATAATTTTAATAAATTTGCAAAAGTTTTTGGTGTCATAAGATACGCCTATCATCAAATAAAAATCAATTAAGTAAACTTCACCAGTGTCGTACGGCAAACTAAAGTAACACCTTTATCCCTTTTAACTTCTACGCCAAGGTCCAAAAACTTATTTAGAATATAATTTTAAATTTTTGTTTATAAATGAGTTTGGAAAATTACAAAATTATTATTTTTTATTAATAAATGTCCAAGTTAAGAAGCATTTACGATTATAACATTCTGAACATTAAGATCAATTAGCAATTTTATTCTAACCTAACTTATCTAGAGATAAAAAACTTAATAAACTAAAATTCTATTCACTATTGTACCTTAGAGTCTAATTATTTAGTTACACTACCGTTAACGTATAACACTCAACCGAACTATACTCTGCTTTGATCTAACATCACTGAACTAACTTAAAAGGCTTGGTTCTCCTAAGTCTTAGGAGAACCAAGCCTTTTAACCAAATTGACATTGTTGATTAGCTGGATAACCTCAACGTTTCCATGTTGGAGCAATCGTTGTTGGTGACTACTAGTAAATTTTTATATTGTAGTTTTAACACTCTCAACTTTAAGGTCCCTATATAGATCAGTATTGCGGCAGTACCAAGATGCATTAACGATGTTCCTTAATACTTTATTTTGGAAACGGTAAATAACTTGGTTTAACTTTTACTGGCACAGCCCCAAAGCTGTAGGCTAAATGCCGCCCTTACATTTTATTTTTTTAAATTTCAAAAATGTTTAAATATAGACGTTTTCTTATTATTATTACACGTCCATACGGGTTTCAATTTCTGCCTGTAAAAAAGAAGTTTGTTGTATGTGGATATTGAGGAATGTTTTCCTAGCAACCAATACATTCTTCGCGTTTCTTTATAATATAGACTTTCCAGCTAACTCTAGCATCAAGTGTCATAACCAGATATTCTTTTCGTCTAGGTTTTTGCAGTTTTCTATTAGCGTCTTCGTAACAGCAACAGCAATAGTATTGTCTTAAGATTATGAATATCTCTGGTATACAACAAGTAGAATACTGGACCTACTACACTACTTTGAAGTACTCCTGCCTTAATTTTTCTAAGGTCGGAATAGATTTCTTCCTGTTTATTTCTGAAATACCTTCCTGATAAATAGGATTTTAATAGCTCAAAGTGTTGACGTGACAGGAACATGTTCGGATTTTTAATCAGGCTTCCATGCCATACTTTGTTGAAAGCCTAAGCCACATCCTAGAAGAAGGTGGAGCAAACTTTTTTCCTCTAGGGACTTTTCAATGATATCTGTGATTCTATAAATTTGGTTAATGGTCAAGTGTTTTTCTTACAAGCCAAACTTGGAGGATATTAGGTCTTTTTTTTTTTCATTATAGATTTCAATCTCTTAAGAAGCAATGTTTTATAGAGTTTCGAGGTAACAGGTAACAAGGAGATGAGTTTGTACGATGTAACCTCATGACGAAGTTTACCTTGGCTTAGGTATCATTATAACTTCTGCTACCTTCCACATCTTTGGTACATACTTTAGTTTATAGGTCACATTAATAAGATTGGCAATTTTGACAATAAATTTTCGTAGAAGCATTTTCAAAATTTTCCCAGTAATGAGGTTACATTCAGGGGATTTTTTCAGATTTATATGTGTTTGGTTTTCCATATAAACTTCTTTTGAAAGGGTGGGTTTAACGACTGTCTTTTTGTGCTAGTTCTATTCAGTCTTGAAGATCTTTACCATTAATATGTAGAAAAGTTCCGCAAATATGTTTGCTTTTTATAAGTTGTTTCGGGCCCAGCTTCCATCTCTAATTCTGATTGGTGGGTTAAGTATAGTAGGGCTTTTTAATCGATTGGTGGCATTCCATAGTGAATAATTAGTACTTTTATCGTTAGATAATTCACTCAAGTATTCTCCAATCGACTCATTTTTAATGCACCATTTATTCATTGTTTAAACTTTTTTATCTTCTGGTACTTTAGACCGTTGCCATATTCTTCCAAATCTCCTTTTTTTGATATAAGATTAATATCTGTTAGTTATTTATCACATTGAACTCTGCATTTAAAAAACCTTAACTTCTTGGTCTAATTGATTCTTAGTTCTTAATCGAGAGATCAATTAGTTCTTCTAGGTTTATTTTGAAGCTTGTCCAGTCTGTGCCTTTGTTGACTAGTTTAGGTAAATTTTCTCTTTTCTACGTGAAAAGTATGGGAGAACGATCTGACTTCATGTCCCATGGTTCTTCTATATGCATATATTTTGAGGCGATATTCTTGGTTATAAAAAAATCTTTGAGATCTGGAAGTGTGTTCTTATATGTGGACCAATATGTTGGCTTTCCAGTTCACATTTTTTGCTTTGGTTGGGTGGGAATCCATTACGGATACCAGGCATATGGTTCTGCCCGTACCTGGTAGTGTGGTACACCCGACTGGGGGTGCAAGACCGATATACCCACTAAAACCACCCTTAAAGCATTGTGGGTCTTCTTGGAACTACCTGCTGGCATTACTTCAAAAAGACGCTTTGTTATTTGATGTATTGGGCTCATCTCATAATGTCGTTTATGTCTTTTCTTTTAATGGACATAATAATGGCTGTGTTATTTATAAGTTCACATGTTTTCTTCGATTCCATCATTCTACTTACGAGGGTTTCTGGTCTTAACCTCCCTGGAAATATTTTTAGCTGCCTTCTTTCATCTTCCCATCTTTGGCATTCGAAGAACGTATGTTCGGCTATATCCCCCATACCGCAATAGATACAGTCAGCTGTATCACTTAGTCCGAATCTATGTAAATAACCCTGGAAGGCGCCATGTTCTGTCAGTATTTGAGTAAGAAAATAGTTAACTTTTCCGTGTTTCCTAGTCATCCATGATCTTATATGTGGCATCAATCTCTTAGTCCAGTTTGCTTTTCCGTCGTCTATTACCTACGTCGCTTGCCATTTTTCTGATTTTATTTCGAGCACTGGTCTTAAGTTCATTACTTTCTTTAATCATAATTCGTTCTTTCACAAGTAGATTTATCGGCGGCATCCTCGCAATTAGAAGTAGCGCACTTGTCGATGTTGTCCGGTATGCACTAGTTATTCTTATAGTCGTTTTTCGTTGTACTCTCAGTAGGATGTCTCTATAAGTTTTCTTTTCAATTGCCCTTTTCCATATGCTTGCAGCGTATAGAATTATTGACTGTATCACCGAACATAATATTCTTCTGTTATTTTCCCTTGGTCCTCCTAGATTTGGCATTATGCGGCTGATATTTGCTAAAGTTTTCGTGGCCTTTTCAGCAATCATACCACTTACCAACATCACAATTTCTGTTTTGTGTGGGGCGAGTTTAAGGCTTTTATTTTTCATCAAACTGGTTATGATCTTGACAGTTCTGTTAGCTTTCCATTCGATGTCTATGACATTTTTCGCTGTAACCAGAATTGCCAGATTATCGGCATATCCCACTAACTTTACCCCGCTAGACATTGGAATCCTAAGCACTCCGTCGTAGTATATATTCCATAGGGTAGGACCTATCACTGATCTCTGTAGTCCCCCGCATGGTATTTTCAATTCCTTGGTTTCTGCTACTAACGTCGTATCTTCTAGGTAACTTGCTACCATGTTGTAAATTTGTCTAGCAACCCCTCTTCTTTTTAGATCTGCTAGTATTCCTCCCCAAGGAGCAGAATTAAACGCATTCTGGACATCCACCGTTATTAATGTACAAAGTTTTCTTTCACTGTGGGGCCTTTTGTTTGCTGTGTCCAGTTAACATTATTTGACATTTTTGTTGATAACATGATGCTAGTAGTTCTTTACCTTTAGTTGTTGTTAGTCTAGGTCCCCAGAGAGTATGTTTTGCATTAGTGGGAGGCCACTATGAATCTGTATCCTTGGCTATATAAAAATTCAAGGTATTATTGCTTCTTTATAGCATATCTTGGTGTATTATATAGAGCTGTAATTTCAATTTTATAAGCTTTTGTTTTCTGCTCTTTGGTAACCAAATGGGTTTCTTAATTATAACTACACTTCCACCTTTTGTTGCATTATCTGGATAGATTTTATGGTACACTGTATATCCTTTACATTTGATGAACGACTGTTTTGTGAAATGTGTCTCAGAAATCAGGCAGATATCAATAATTTTTTCTAATTCTAGAAGTATTTGCAGCTCTTGTTGATGCTGCAGCAGTCCATTTGCGTACCTTTCGAAAATTGTAAGCCAATTGGCCATTATTAGCTTTAGAAATAGCTCCTTGAGCAAGGTGTTTCTTTGAAATAAGCTTATCCATCTTGTCCAGTCTATCTAAAATTCTTAGAGCATTACCTCAATATTTTTGGGTTTTGTTGAACGAGCTGTTGATTATATGGTATACTATGGTATTGTATAAGGTAACCTTCAGTGAATTATTTCTCGCAAGTTATTTATACGATTTTTCTCACAATCTACTATTATTAGTAATAATTTCTATCATAATTTAATAAAAATGTTTAAGGACGATAGCTGTGGGACTGTTGCTATGCAATATAACAAGGCATGATTCTGGAAAAAACTGGAAAAGATAAGAAAATACTTACGAAGCATATAGTCAGTGACAACTGCTAGTCAAGAAAATTACACATGCTAATCGAACATAGTATTTTAAAATACAAGTTGCCGAAAGGCCACATATTCCCGCACGAATTCGAAATTTGGCTAAGAGCGATGAAGAAGCGAGTGGACGAACGAATCAATGTGAAAATAGCTTCCTGCAATGTGTGTTTTATACTATTTTCTCGATTTTGGGCTTTATTTACCTTTTTTTGTGGTTTTTGTTAGTTGGGAGTTTTTTTGCAAAATATGTCAGTTGGTAACACTTAGATACTAAGAAACTGTCAGGTGGAATTTATTTACTAGCAAAGTAGTAAATGTCACTAAAAATCGTTTAGCAATGAGCTTTATTCTTCAATGATTCTGCGTGCGAGAATAGGACATTCTTACACCAAAATCTAAAAGGTTACTAGTAAAGGGAAAGCAACAGCCGTATGCATAGTCGATCGCCAGCGACCCGCCAGAGATTCATTCCGGCGTATCGCCAGCGATTCGCTGGCGATCCGCTGGCGAAAGCCCAAAAAGCTGGCGACTCGCCGGATATTGTCACCGGAATGTCATTTCACGCAAGTTTTCATGTTCTTTTATAGAGAAAAATTTTATATTCGTTCATTATTTTTTGAGTTTTAAGAAATAAATCATGAATAAAATGCGAGAGATACCGGTGATAATCCCTATAAAAGAAAATAAAAACTTACGTGAAATGACATTCCGGTGACAATCTCCGGCGAGTCGCCACCTTCTTGGGCTTTCGCCGGCGGATCGCCAGCGAATCGCTGGGGATACACCGAAATAAATCTCTGGCGAGTCGCTGGCGATCGACATGCATACGGCTGCAAGAGTTTCAGGTTGTTCTTCATGTAAATTAATATGGGAAATCGCTAAGGTTAAAAGTAGCAAAAAATGTAAATATCAAGGTCACGAGTCGAGAATCAAAGTCTGGCTTATCAGTAAATATGGTAACGTTAGATAGAATCTTGGACACCAGTGCTTTTTAAATGGAAAACGTGTAGTTCACTCTGGACAGTAGAGTGCTGGTGTGGACATTTAAGTAAAGATTGGACAAATATTGCTAATAATTTAAATGGGTGAAAGTTATTTGTAGTAGGGTAAAGTCAACATTGGACAATGAAAATAAAATATATATTGTTTCAAAATTCTATTTTTAAATTAACAGTATTAAGTATTTACAGTAACTCAATAAGTTTTAAAATTGTCTCTCTTTAAAGCTCATCTTTTTTATTTAGGCCCATCTTCAGTAAACGTGTAATAGGTTTCTTTTTCTTAATTTGTTTTTCTTTGTAATTATTCCTAACTTCTATTCCCCGTTCTGTTTTGTAAAATTTTCTTTGTTTCACGTTATCTTTCTCCCTCCGCCTTATTCCTTCGGCACCTTTATCACAACTACATGTGGATTTATCATAAAGTTCTTCTTCCGATGTGTATTTTAACACTTTCAGATGCTAATTCTGAAATTTCTGTGCGTACTAAGCAACACTGCTTTCCTCGGGAATGTAACCAATCTTGTTTGAATACTCTTCTATGGTAATGAGAATAAAGTGTTTCTCTGAGACCTCTATCCCTTCTAAGCGGCTTTTTTCCATCAGCACAGGTGATGTATCCGAGGACACCAACAGCATGGTCCAAGAAATTTATTTTCTTGAAAGTTGTTTTTGATTGGAGTCGTATACCAGTGCGCTGTAGTTTTTTCTTGTAGAATAACATTGCAAATCCATTTGTGAAATGTATTAAATCGTGAAGATGTTCATGTGCTGTACTGCGCCATCGTCTGCTATTAGATGACATTGACAAATAGAATACATTTGAAGCACAAGCAAGTAAATTAAAGTCCTTTTCATTTAATATTAAGTGATATCATTCTTTAGACAAGTCTTCGTAATATTGTGCTATTTCCTGTGGCGACAAATCGTTAATTTCATTTAGATTTAAGAGAGTAAAATAATCAGTTTTTGACAATGAAGACATTTTTTTGTTATTTTTAGGGAAGCTACTCGTAGAAAACGTCTCAGTTGACTGGAAGAGTCTTTAATGTCTGAATATCTTAAACAAATAATTCATTACCCCCACCAACAAGATTTTTGCGCATGTGCAGTAGTACAAACGAACGTTAGGTTAGGAGGGCATGCGAGAAGTTCTAAAGCAATTTACCGATGAAAGATGAATGGTATCACTTAATATTAAATAAAAAGGACTTTAATTTACTTGTTTGTGCTCCAAATATTAAACGGTATTCTATTTGTCGATGTCGTCTAGTATCAAATGATGATAATATGGCACATGAACATCTTCATGCTTTAATACATTTTACTAATGGATTTACAATGTTACCCTACAAGAAAAAACTACAGCACACTGGTTTCAAGAAAATAATTTGTTTGGATCATGCTGTTGGTGTCCTCAGATACATCACCTGTGCTGATGGACAAAAGCCGCTCAGAAGGGATGGAGATAGTCTTAGAGGTACATCTCATTCTCATTACGATAGAAGAGTATTCAAACAAACTTGGTTACATTCCCGAGGAAAACAGTGTTGCTTAGTACGCACAGAAATTGCAGAATTAGCATCTAAAGGTATTAAAATTTAGAAAAATATACATCGTAAAAAGAACTTCTTGATAAATCCACATGTAGATGTGATAGAGGTGCGAAGAAATAAGGCGAAGGAAAGAAGCTAACGAGAAACGAAGACCATTTTATAAAACAGAACGGGAAACGGAATTAAGAATAATTACAAAGAAAAACAAATTAAGAAAAAGAAACTAATTACAAGTTTACGGAAAATGGGCCTAAATAAAAAAGCTGAACTTCAAAGAGAGACAATTTTAAAACTCCTTTAATTATTGTAATTACTTAACACTGTTACTTTAAAAATATAATTTTGAAACAAAATATATTTTATTTTCATTATCCAATGTTGACTTTACCCTATTACAAATAACTTTTCCCCATTTAAATTATTAGCAACATTTGTTCAATCTTTACTTAAATGGCCACACCAGCACTTTACTGTCCAGAGTGATCTACACATTTTCCATTTAAAAAAAATTGGTGTCAAATCATATTTACTGATAAGCCAGTCTTCAATTCTCGACGTGTGACCTTAATATTTACGTTTTTTGTCACTTTTAACCTTAGCGATTTCCCATAATAATTTATATAAGGAGTGGCCCAAATCTTGCTATCCCTTTACTGTTACTTTTCCGTCTATCTATAAGCAAGAACACAATAAGTCACTTTCCGACTGTTTTTAAGGGTTTAAATCCACAGAATAACAATTGATTGTGAGTATATAACTTTAGCAATTAATCGCTTCTTGAGAGTAAACAACTTTACGCATAATCAGTTAGTAATCTGTGGATTTATACCATTCAAAAAAGTCATAAAGAGACTTATTACTTTATTTAATTTTCCTACTAGAATCTCTATCTTGACTTTTAGCTGTACCTTCTAGTTTAGTATATCATCTTCTAACATACAAATTTTTTTGCAGCATTCTCTAACTATGAGCACAATCGTCGTAACAGTGTTATTAATATACATTCCTTTCACCACCGAATGCAATCTTTCCTGCGGAAGCTCTTGTTGTGAAAGTAGTTACTGCTGTGAGATATCTTCAACATGTCAATCATGTAGAAAAACGTGTTCGACTGCCTGCAGAAGCCAGAGTTGCGAGTACAACTGTCATCAAAACTGTTATCACCGAAATGATTGTAACCAAGATTGTCACAATAGGACTTGTAATCCTAATACCTTTTCTTCCACTTCGACTACAACTTATCCCCGTCCTTATCCGCGTCCTTATCCCTATCCAGTAACACCTGCTCCTTCTGTCTACAAAGTTAACAATACCGGCAATAGTTCGTTTGAAACTACACTTAATCTCAAGAATATTGTTTCAATAATTAATAACTTTAGTATTCCAATAAGTGTTAATAACGAAAATAATGTTGATGTTAAAATATCGTTAAAATCAGAGACAAATGAAGAAACTGTAAGTAAAACAAATGAAATTGTTATTGATAAAACTACAACTTGGAAACCTATGCCCACATTGCCCACGCCTAAGCCAGAGCCCATGCCATATCCTGTCCCTATACCTGTACCCAATATTCCTATACCAAGACGCGTTGTATATATTCCAGTTCCTCGTCCAATTTTAGTACCAATGGCACAACCAGGTTGTTGTAATATCATTAATTCTTGCCTTTCTGGTGGAAATTGTCAGCGTTTCTCAAGCCAATGTGGTTCCCAGTGTACCTCGAATAACATGTATGCTCCGTCAAATCCATGTTCAACCGGATGCATCAGACGTCAATTCGGAATATCATATAATTGTTTTAGTTCCGGTTATTGCCAACAAAAGCTAACTGACTGTGACATGTGCAGTGACAATTTTTATATGAATTTTGATAATTATAGAAGGTGTGCAGGGTGTTTTTCTGTACAATAAAGTACTTGGCTAAAGTGATTTTACCTATATATTTCATTTCTAGAAAAGAATAAGTGATAAATAATTGGAGGTCCTTATTATGGAAATAATATGGTGCGATTCACAAGCATATTTTTATAAAATAAGCTTAAGAGAAATTCGCGCATGTCCTAAATATTAAATTGAATTGAATACCCCATATTGAATTCTTCTTCTTTGGAGTTCCAATTTGGATTTAATTCAGAGTCGTTCATAATTATCATGGACATAACTCGTATGTATCATTGTTTCTCATGGCCTACTTTAGAAACACATGATGTGGATTGCTCTTAAAAATCTAATATAAATCAGGCATTTCAAACCACTGGACCGGTAGGGAGCTCAACCTAAAAACTTATCTCATAACATATAACATTTTCCATTGTCAGTTTTATCAAATATATAAAAATGGGGGCGCCTGGGACTAGAAATAGTAAATATAAATAAAAGAACTAAAATTGATGTCACAAGCTGTAACAACAAAAATTAACGGATTTTCTGTAGGAAGGACCACCTAGTCTAAAAAAAATGTAGGAAAAAACATTGGGTATACCTCATAAGGTATGAAAACGATCTTTTCCTACGACCACTTTGGAAAGTGACACATATCACACTATATAGTCCTATGGAAAGTGCCCTATATCACACGCGTATGAATAAGAATTTACTTTCCACCCGAGTGAGAATATGTTACTTTCCGCAGTAATTGTCACAAAATGTCAAACAGCTAATTTCCATTTTGATCTATGTAATATCCATAATAATACTAAAATCGATATGATTGTTAAATTATTGAAATTGTTGTAAATTAGATCCTAGATATTTATCTTTAACAATTATTATTAAAATAATTTTAACATAATGTTTGCTCTTTATTCTGGTTGAATACATAATCGATTAGATCATTCAATTGACACAAGGGCTATTAGCTCAGGTGGTTAGGACGTCGAACTTATCAACTTTGCCATTTTTCGACCGCGTTCAATCGATGGTTCAAATCCTGGCGTGGCAGAAATTTTTTTTGTTTTTTTTTTCTAGTTTTTTTTTTTGTTTAAAAAATATGAAAATTGAATAAATACGATTATTATTGTTGATTATTTTTTTAAATACATTTTAATTATTATAGTAATAATAACCTTGGTTTTACATTTTTTAGATGATATTATTTTGTGGTCGTAGGAAAAATATTGTACATCACTTGTGTGAAAAGTGATTTTCCACACTCGTGTGATAGTCGCACTCGGCTTGCGCCTCGTGCGACAATATTTCCCACTCGTGTGAAAAATGTCACTTTCCACACTCGTAATGTAATATACTATTCTGCCAGATTGTTCCGTAATAAATGTACTATCTAGAAACTATTTGTAAGACAAAATATTTAGGGACTTACTTGCATTAAAACAAGGGTTTTTGAAAAAAGTGCAAATATTTACCTCATGTGGTATAAGATTAAAACCAATGTGATTTTGTGGTTATTATTTTTACACATTGTTCTACATTTTGCTAGTTGTTTAGCTTGCCGGTCTATCTTCCATATAATTTGGTAAATCTATTTCTAAGACAGTTTTATTTGGAGTTTTGTATTTTTTTATGAGAATTAAATGACTTCCGAAGAAACTTCATTAATTCCAGCTAGAGTGTATATGGAATTCCAGATAAATTAAATCGGATGTCTATTTTATAAAAACCCAATCTATATAATAAAACCCATTAAGTATATTTAAGCAGTGGCCAAATTAACCTGGTTTGAGATACAAACATTTTTTAAATGATGTTATCAATTAGCCAATGAGCACACACTCGTTTTTGCAACGTAAATATAACGTTGTACGGTATAAAAAATGTTATTGGTTGAAAATTCAACGTTAAAATTTTAATTGAAAAATTATACGTATAAAAAACACTACTTTCTACGTATTTTTTTAGCCATTTTTAATTGAATGTTGAAAATTTAATAAAATAATACGTTTTTTTATAATGTTATTTTCTTATTTATATTTAACGTTTATTTTTTATTTCGCTTAATACTATATTTAAACCTATAGTTGATTTTTTGCAATTAATACGTAATACCTAAGACGTATTGAAAACATTGTGATATCAAAACATTTTACCGTTTGATTTATTTTTTAAAATAAAGATATAGGTTATTTCAATATTATTTAATTAACTATATTTTATTATTTTTAAACGGTTTTATGTAACTAAAGGTTAATAGTTTTGTTAAATATACGTATATTATTAACGTTAGTTTGAATGAAATACATGTCCTATAGAAAACGTTCGTGTATTCGTACCTTTTAACATTTGGTTAATAATGCAAATCAAATATCTACGTTATTTTAATATTATTTATTTAAGTATATTTTAATAGCATTTTAAAACGTTGTTATGTAATTGTTGTTTTACCAAGATATGAAAATTTTGTTTAATATACGTTTAATAGTAACGTTAGTTTAACTTACATAAAAGCCATAATAAACCCATTATTGTATCGAAAAACTTAAAGGATGACATTACCAGACATTTTTGGACTATTTTATCTTCTTTTACTTGTACTTTTACTTATGAAGACCGCAGCACACTGTAGGGCGATGAGTAACATTCCACTTATTCTTCTATCTGTACGTTTCCTATAATATAATAGCCGCAGGCTACTGCAGGGTGCTGCGTAACATTGCTCCCTCCTCTTTAGTTATTTGTCCCGAATAACTTGATTACTGGAACCTAGTTGGAACTAATAAGGACGATCTGGACCATGGTATGCAGCTATCTTCCCAATGTGAACTACGTTGAATTTACTTTCCGCTGACAGTTGAATGCGGCAGATCAGGTCGTTGATTTTCCTTAAGGACGGACTAGGGGCCTTCCCAGTTCCATTGCCCTTCTTAAAATGTGTATCTGTTGCACGCCTGTCGATTTTAGTTCTGCTTTATCGGTATGGGCTTTCAGTTGTTCCCGAACGAATCCATAGACCTTTGTCCTGCTATTGCATACATCACATTTTTTACACCAATCCGCTACATCTCGTCGGCAATTGACCCAATAATATCTTTCCCGAACTCATGCCAGTGTCTTTTTAGTATCAAAGTGTCCTCCTGAACGGCTGCTATGAAGCTCCTTCAATACTTTTCTCACCTGTGACCTCGGCAGTATCACTTGGCGGACTATATGTACTCCATCGGGGCTCTCCCACTTTCAGTGCAATAAGCCATCGTGAAGATACAGGGAAACCTAGTGGGTCCAGTAGACTTTTATATTTCTACTGTATTTGGCTATCTCTTGCCAAGTAGGTGTGTTTTAATTTTTGAGCCATTCTCGAATAACCTTTAAGTCATTGTCTTTCTTCTGTCCCTGTCTCAGACTTTCAAGGATGATTTCTTCTTCGTCGCCCTCTGGCTTGATAGTGGTTGCCCGAAGAGTAACTTTATCAACCGGTTCTTCTCGTTCTTCAAGCCTTTTATTATACCAGCATTGTTTCTCTAAACGGGGTTGCTCGTAGAGAATGTCTGCGTTTCTATGAAGACCTCTTCGATGCTCTACTTTCTGGTTATTGTTAGAAAGCCGGCTCGGTGTGGGTGATTGGCTTCATTGTGATGCATAGCTGTTGTAATTAATTCTTGTTGGTCTTAGTGATGAGTTTGGAAAGATTGACCTATATGATTTTCCGGTCCCATTCGTTGATTCTCGATTTATAAAATGTGCCATGCTTCTACAGGTTCTTTGAAAGTGCCTGATTCTTCCGCAATTGAAGCATCTCCTGCTTCTATTTTGGCTGTTTCGTTGCATATTTTAAAGGATATTTAAGATTTGGGAAATAGCATTAGTATTGGCCTGCTCAATTTCCTGGGATTTAATTTCCTTTACTTTTGCGCGAGAAGATCTGGATAGAAGTTTTACTGCTTCATATTCCTGGGCTGCAATCAGTTTCTCCCTCAGCGTTTTGTGATGTTGTAAACAAAGGACTTACTGCATTTCCACATCTTGTAGTCCATCAATGAATGCTTGTATTCCGAGTTGTTCTTGGAAATCTTTCGGTACCTGTGAATAGGCCAAATAACTCAACCTTCTTATGTAAGCGTCGAATTCCTGTAGACTCTCATTATGTTTCTGACAACGAACCTTTAGCTGGCTTTGGAATACCCATTGCAAATGCTGCTGACCATATCTTGTATCCAAAGCTTGGATGAAAGATGAATAACTGGGTTCTTTTTGGGAAAATAACTGTAAAACGGTTACTGCCTGTCCCCGCAGCGATACTATCAATGAAGCCGCCATCTCTTTCTCGGTCCAGCCATTGGCTCTAGATGCAGCTTTAAATTGGGGGCGATATGTTTCCCATGTTGTCTGACCGTCAAACGTGGGTTGTTTAATGGTCTTGCTAGTATGGCTTTGTGAAAGTGGGTTCTGGATATGGCTTGGTTTGGTTATAGACAAGGACGAGGTAGTGTTTTCAGTTTCTCTAATTCTTATCGAAGCTTGGCTACGAATTTTTCTTTCTAACTCAACTAGTTTAGTTCTAATTTGCCCTTCGAACTCTAATCTAGCCTTTTCTTGTTGTTTTAAATTATTTTGAAATTGTTCTAAATTAGTTTTTAAATGCTCTTGCTGCTATTCTAAATTAGTTTGTAAATGCTCTTGTTGTTGCTCTAACAGATCTACTTTAATTTCAAGCTGACCAACCTCTTGCTTAAAGAGTTTTCCTACGTCTTTTTTTTTCCTCCTCTTCTTCCTTCCTACGCCTTTCTTTTTCCTTCTTCCTGCATCTTTTGTTTTCCTCCTTTTCTTCCTTCCTACTCGTTTCCTTTTCTTTCTCTCTCCTTTCCTTTTCCTCCTCTTCTTCCTTTCTACGCGTATCCTTTTCTTTCTCTCTCCTTTTCTTTTCCTCTTCTCGCCTTACTCTCTCTTCTTCCATCTTCAAAAACCATGCTGGTGGGCCTGAAGTATCCATGCCTGCTTCGTACTCAGTGGATCTAGTATTT